ATATATTTCAGACAAGGTTATATATTTTCATGTGATTTTTGTTTTCAGTAGATAGACATAAAAACTGTTCAAATGTTATTTTCCGAGCGCTTTCGGCTATACATTTATCCATTTTCAAGATTGAAGTATAATACATGTTTACAAGAAATAGATTGTTGTATGTACATATTTATATCATGTTTTATTACAAAACACGGCCAAAATATTGTGTCCATGTTCATAGTTGATATTATTGGGTATAGTTTTTTGTTTTTATTAATAAGTTCTTTAATTATTTATTATATAATAATTTCCATTATATATATATATATATATATATATATATATATATATGTGTATATGTGTGTGTGTGTGTGTGTGTGTGTGTGTGCGTATATCTATTATTTCAAACGTTATTAGTAGTGGATACCCGTGTTTATTTTTTTTATTTCTGAACGTGCGAACTTTGAAGGCAATACAATGTTTTCTTATATATATATATATATATATATATATATATATATATAGTTACAATTCCCCCTTTTGTTTATGCTGAGAAATACTTTGTGGTTTTTGAACGTTGTCTATCCAAATTTCTATGCAAACTTTATTTTTTTCTCCATGTTACTTTTTTCTGTTTAAATTCAATTTCCATACATGCATTGGTGAATTTCCTCAAGGAAAAAAAAAAGCCCCTTCTTGTCATTAATTGATATATATATATATATATATATATATATATATATATATTATATATATATAGATAGATAGGAAACATTTCGTAATGTTTTTCAATAGGTCATATTTGAACACGTCATTTCCTTTCACACGTGGCTGAAATTTATGACACATATATATATATATATATATATATATATATTCTGAAAGTTGATATTTCAACGCCTTTTTTCCATACGATACGTGTGTGGATTGCGAATTGTAAATGTTGTTATGTCAAAACTAGAAATGGAGACAAATGTGATATGAGATATTTGTGTAATTTGATTGGCTTTCATTTCCGGGAAGGAAAGGACGCTGT